GCAAATAGTAAATATGGAGATGAGGTCATAAAATAAAAATCAAGTCGAGAACAACAACAAAATTTTATAAACAAAAACCTCTCGCAGAGCATTGGCTATTATATTATTTCCCTGTCAATGTTCACATTTTCATTAAAACGTGTAAGATGACTAAAACAAGATCTTGAAGAATCTATCTATCTACATATTACTAAAATTCTGAGATTGTTTGTTTGTTTGCTTATTTTCTCAGTCATAAAATCATTCACACTACAGTTTGCACTCTTTACAAAACTTCATCAGGCCACAGGTTTTTCGGGTCGCTTTTATGAAAATTTCTAGCATGAGTAACTTTACATCACACTACCGTTTGTGCTCTTTATGAAACTTCTTCATTCAAATCTATTTCCCTGTCAATGTTCTCATCTTCATTAAAAGGTGTAAGATGACAAAAACAAGATCTTGAAGAATTTCTCAATAATATGCCTTGGTTATGGTAGATAACTCGAATAAAAAATAAATGTTACTGTTTCTTATTTGTAGAAGGTTTAAGAGGAAAGACAACATAATGAACTAATTCATCACACTTCACTTTTTTGAAAAATGAAATGGTCTTTACTTTTACTCCCGATCAACAATCAAATATCTTTTCTTGAATTATGAATAACATAAATGGATTGAAATATTTAATTAAATTATCTCAAAATAAACCTTCATTTTGGTGCAAGATTGAAATTAGCTTGAATTCTTCATAACCTCTGAATAGTGGGTGACCCAAAGAGTCACGGGTTGTCTAGTATATATATAATCAAACTAAAAATTAAAAACCTTCAGCATTTGTACGATACCCATAATGTCAGTAACCAAAGCCATAATATCATAAACTGATAAAAAAATTAAATAGAGTCAAATGAACACCAAAAACAAATGTATATCAAGTAGATAAACATATAAGAGAAAAATTAAAACATGATGACAAATATCCATATAACATGACAAAAAAATGATCTAGATGAACTGTTAGCTAATGTTGAGATTTTGATTTAACAGTGATTACACGGGCCAGACACTCAGGATTTTTTTATTGGCTAAAATTTTTACCAAAACCTGATTGGACAAAAAGCAGGCGATTTCTGAACCCTTTGTGAAAATCGGATCCACGGCTGGCCACAAAACAGATATCAACATACTATCGATATTCAGTGAGAAAGTGTACTGATCTTGTATTGATAAAGCAACATTAATACAGGGAAAATAAAAAGCTTGTAAGTGCAAAGTGCATATGTGAGGTAGTTGTGGGATATGCCCTCGACGTCAGTGTGGATGCGGTGGTTTAAACCCAGAGGTCAAAATGGCAGGAAAAGCAGGTGGGAAACAGCCACAGAGCAAATTAAAGGCACAAAGAAAGAAACAAAGAAGGATTGATTATTGATTGATTCCACTGGAGAACGATGAAGATGAAATGTCTAGCAATACATCTGAGGATCCCTTGGATTTTGTCACACCAAAGAAACAACAGAGATCATCCAAGAACTCAAGTGTGAAAGCAAGGTGTTATCATAGTACTCCAACAGGGCACGGGAATGATGTCTATTCAATTTGGCAGTTCTTTGGTATTGAATCCACAGCAACATCAAACTTTCCAAATGAAGAAGCTCGACGTTTCAGTGCTCTTGACATGAACAATGTATTGCTTGTGTTCTGCATGACTGTATTAAGGATTATATGCACCATATTACTCCCAGGAGATCCAGATGGTCTTATGAATGAGACTGTAAATGAAATTTGTAAGAAATTTGATGATACAAAACTATTCCCATCTGTCAACAATGTGCAACATGCTCTGCCAGAGAAATGTATTCAGAGAAAAGATATACTTGCACTGCTGTGTCAGTCAATGGCATTCAAAGAAGTGAAAGAGAGATTGAAGATCGGAGAACAAGCATTTGAAACAGCTAGATGGCACTTTCGTCAATTGAAGTCAAGGTTTCTAGCCAGCTGCACTGAAAGCAGTAGAGTTCATATTGAGCCCAATCAATGTGAAAGCTTTATCTTGGGGAACAAAAAAGTTTGAAGTGGATGGTAAAACAATTGATTTCCTTCACTTTACTCATCAGAAAAAGCAGAGTACATTTATGTATTTGGAATGGTTCCCGATTGCAGCGGATAGGATATCACATGGCTCTTTCACAAAAGTAGTTTCTGCATTGACATAATTCGATCAGAAGGCACGAAAGGCTGTTGACTACACTGCTGGTATATTGTTATATGACAATACTAGTATTTTGGTCTAATTTAAGTGGTGGCTGTAAAGCAAATATCCTGCAAAATGCTGACAAGATTTGAACATTTCTTAAAGTATGATTTTGGTACTCACATTGCAAGTGATTGTGTAGCCAATCACAACATCTGATTCATGCTTGAATATGCAGCTTCTGGAGTAAGTGCTGCTATTGTTAATAGTTGTCAGAAATGTAAGGTGCTTTTTCGTATGATTCATTATTTGCTGAAGCATGCACCTTCAGATTGTCATGGACTGCTGAAGGATTGTACACACAAATTCAAATTGTTTTTGGTTCATTGTATTCGAGTGGAGAATCAACGTCAGAGGATTCAATCAATTCATGATAACCTTGAACCCGACGAAGCTCTTATTGTCATGGACCACAAAATGAAGTAGGAACTCGTGTATTTCCACAATAAAATTATCAAACATTACGGAAAGAAAGGGCTGAGTTGGCATAGAACCATGGTGTATACTCACCGCATTGTAGATGTTTCAGATAAATCTTTCAGGATTTCATATTACGATCATATTTCTGGTGGTGATTCACAGCAGGATTGGGTCACTGTCTTCTTACTGTTTCAAAGATGTTTTGATGGAAATGAAAAAGGATCATCCGAACATTGAGAAACTATATGTTCAATTGAACAATGCAAAGTGCTATTAGAATGCATCGCTAGTATTTGGAATGCTTCTGTTAGCTCACCAGCATGGTTTTGAATTGCAATCGTTTGGAAAAGGAGGCATTGATGTGGATTTTGCCATTTCAATGCGTCAAGTGTTGAAATATGTCAATATGGGGAACAATGTAATCTCTCCAAGGGAACTCTGCATAGCGCTTCAGAGCAGTGGTGGACTAGCAAATACTGTGGTGTCTTTGTTCACTTTTGATCGTGAGAAAGTGTCTGAGCTTCAGATTAAATATAAAGAAGCATTCCAGTTCTTTGAAAAGATTTCTCAATGCAATGAGGTAGTGTTTGATGGAGCTAGACTTCATGTTTATGAGTATTCTGGCACAAACTCTTTCGTAGTTGAAGGACCAATTTCACACTGTGTCATCTGTAGATGTGGATGATCAAGAAAATGGTGCTCAAGATGAAAACTCAGATGGTGAAAGTGATGTTATTGATGAACAAAATGAACCGGAATTGATGAATGATAGCAATCAAAGTGAGTTACAAGGATCTGTGACAAAATGTACATTCACAACACGTGCATTGAGGTACATACAATGCAACAGAAAAACACCACGATTTCCACTGGAAGTGAAGAGTGAGTTTGTTGAAAAAGACAATGAATGCAGTGTATGTCAGTGCACATTCCAAACTGAGATAAAAAAAAAGTCAACATGTGTGTGTCATGATAGTAGAGAAAAAAATGATTTACTTGCAGTATCATTGAAACATGCAAAGAATCTCATTGATCAAGGTCTTGTGGATTTCATTGACACTATAAATTGAGGTGAAATTGCATCATCAGTGAATGATTCTGAATTGCATTAAAATGACATCAATTTCATCCCAGAAACAATCTTGCATGGTTGGGCAAAGTGACCTGCGTATGGTCTTGTCTATGGAGCAAAATACACTGACAGTTTCAAAGATGATATTGATGAGATGTTTATGAAAGGCATTAATGACAAGTGTAATAAAATGGGACCAGGAAGAATACTTGAAGAGCTACAACAGAAAAACTTTACTCTGAATACAGCATCACAGGTTGAGGAAACAAAATATATTAAGAGAAAAAAAATGTTGTAATTCTCAAGGTAAATCACTTAACTCATTCCTACAATGTTTACATACATTACTTTGACATACATTACATTCAGTAATCTAAATGAATGTTCATTCAAGCACAAAAAAATATTTAAAATGTCGAACAATGAGCCCTCACAGATCTAAAGAACAAAAATGTCATTATAATTAATACAGTAAATGTTTCAGAGTGTGAAATGTTTGTTGAAATATCACAGTACACAACTACCGGTGGATATATAGAGGCTCAGGAAATGCTGTGTTAGTGACTCAGAAAGCCAAAGTAGTTTTATGAGTACATATAGATTATAAGTTACAGATATGACAGTTCCCTCATGCTTTCCTTTCCCATCAATGGCATGTACAAAAATGGTGCATGAAGTAGGGCTAACTATAGTCTACGCACTTGTGATAATAACAAGTGGCTGCAACCTCAGGAATGCAAGCAAGTTTACAACTGTCTCTTGTCCCAACTGTGGAATTTTGCATTTGTTACAATACATCAGGTTCTCTTAGATTACAACACCATAATGTTTCAAGGTAGGTTTTACAACAAGTTTAGTTGTGTCCCTAGTTTTAAAACAGACAACTGTTTAGTTTATAAAAGGATTCTATTCCCTGTGCTCCTTATATTTGTTGAAAAATGTTCATATAAAATGTACAATAAAAGCATGATGTGCTAACCTTATCAGGTTTATCAGGAACAATTTATCAGGAATTTCCCCAACTACCAATGGTCAAACCTGCCATTGTAACAACTATAACAATTTTAAAACACCCATAAAGAGAGTTTCACAGCACAAATAAAGTCAAACCAAACTACAAATATAGAAAAACATTAACATTTTATAATTTACTTCAATTAATTTAATGAATTTTTGATAGACTACTACAATATTTACTTCAGATTGCTCCTTAACAAATAATAAAAAAAAACTAATGATTTTGAAATACTTAAACACAGTGACCCTTCTCTGAATAAGAACTCTCTTTAATCTTTACTTTAAACCTTCAAATTAACCCAAAAAAGGGTCATTATATGCCTTACCTGGTCCTTGATATTGTTTAGCAATCCCTCTATTGTAGTGAATCGTCCACCAAGGGTCCCAGCACCTACCTCCAGAACCAACTCTGGAATCTCAATACTACATGTTTCAGACTACAAAGGAAAACCGTTGTTTTTAAAAACTTTCAACTTAGGAAGAAAAAAAGGAATCATTTGTAATTTGTAATCTCATTATGTTTTACCTTCATTTTCTTCTTTTCTAATGTTTGCCAATATCAAGGAATATATTCTTTGTGATTATGAAATATTTTTAGCTTATATGTATAACATGTGATTAACATGCAGCTTTTTTACGTGTTGATTGCGTGAATCACTTTACTGCATAACCTTTCAGTGGGGAAATACTAGAGTTTAAACAAATCAGTTATTTTGTGTACTTTACTACCAAAAGCAATTTAAACCTTTGTTTTTTTAGACATTATGCACATAACAGATTTTCTTAAGTTCTGTCATTATGGCCCTGGACCATTCATATTTTATGCTAATAGTCATGATTACAGCTGGGTAATTAACTTGAATAACTGATCGCCTATAAGTATTAATTACTTAGTTTAATGTTACATAAAATAATCAGTTTATCAAAATAACAGTTAATCAATTAAAGTCACAAAAATAATCAACTAATCAAAATTGGTGTTTCCAATTATTCCAACAATCAAAGTAATCAAAACATTAGCTATTATTGTGTTGGTGTGACCGTGCTAGACTGTATGCATGTGTTCTGGTTGTACACCATTCACGAAAGTGAGGGTGTAGCCTAGTAGCCATTGGTTACATAACTAGCGACATTTCTGCACATTATTTTGACCTTGTTTGGACTAAACAACTGCATAGTTTTAACTTAATTTATTACTTAATTATTATAAGCTACAAATGTAGCCAGTGTTACTTAAGGTGAGAATGCTATAATAAAAAAGTTACATCAAGTTCATATTTGTCATTTTTTATTTGCCAATAAAAAAAAGCTGATTATGTAACACTGTAAAGTCAATAAAACATGTTCAGGACTCCTGGTTAGTTATGACTAACTCTAGTTAGATAGGAGGTACTGAAAAGAAAAAAACGTTTAGCTGTTATCATGTGCCACTTTTAGTCTCAAAACTACGTGTTGTGGTTTTTCTTTTATGTACTGTGTTATGATATTTTGTGAAAAATCTGTACATGATTGAGAAAAATGGATATTTTCGGAACTCAGTGTACAAGAATTACTGAAGAACATGTAAAAATGTCAAGACAATAAAACCATCGCAGGCCTGTGTTAATAAAAACTATAAAACTTTGGTATCTTTTACATACCTTTAAAATATCACGAGTCATATCACTTGGATCTGTTATCTTAAACTGAATTCTTGTCCCAAGAGGTTCAATGCCTGAACCACTTTTTACCTCATTTGTTTTGTAGCCACAAATATCACATGTTGTAGCCATTATTATAACTTCCTTGAAATGAGGAATTTCTAGTAAGTTAGTTAAATGAAACAACCATAAACAAATTCATTCTTTACATAATTAAACTGCAGAAAAAAAATTTCAAAAAATGTTGGTTCATTCCAAAATATATTTCAAACCTTTGGTAACTTACAAAAATACAAGCTTGCATAAGCAATATTTGTTTGTTTGTTTTAATTAAGTGCTAAAAGTACTTCCTTATATTACTAAAAAAAAAAAGATATATTTAACTTCTAATCATATAATGTATACTTCTGAAAAAAGACTGTCAAACTTTTGCCAAGTATTTCAATTCCGTTTTATTTATATTGCACATGAAATAACGAAAGTTCATTTTATGATTTATCCACCAGCAACTTAAAAAAAACAACAATTGAAATTCCAAAATCTCTGTTATGCATCAAGGGGGTACATTCTAACTAGAGGAAGTGAAAGATGCACTCCAAACAACTTATAATTACTACAAAAATAAATGAAATATGAATTTTCTCCGATTGGATAAAACAATCCCACACTAGTGATCAGCTGAGAACTCAAGTTTTGAACTATGTCAGGTCTCAGTCAGCTAGACTGATGATGCAGGATGTCATCCTTATGAGTCTTATATGCATACAGCTGCCTGACATGGCATAGTGTATGTTTTATTTCAACACATTTTTATGTTGTTTCACTCTTTCTTTTGCAATGAAAGTGTACAACTATGTGTGTAAATACAATTTATACTAACGAAAATCACACAGCTTCTCTTTAACCTATGCATACTGGCATGATCATTTTGATCAACCTTTGTAATCTGCATGTAACCATGACACTATACATACTATAACTCTGAATATACTAACTGTATCTTCACAAAATTTGGCAAGCTTTTAGCAAACATTATAACTCTGTTGTACACTCAAAATCAGATTTTTTAACAAAGTATTTTCACTAAACACTTGTCTGTAACTTTATGAAGCTATACCAAGTCAGTCTGAGTGATTTTGTTATGTTGAGAATATAAATACTTCATCTTACAGTTTTCATATTTTATTTGCATAATCTCTAGAACCTCCTAAACAAATATTGAGGGTTTTTTCAATAAAACTTTATCCCAGTTTTTCTTCCCAAAACTAACTGTAGGGAATTCATCAAGTTAAAGTGAAATCAAAAATTGAAAAATATGAAATAAATAACAAAAAATATTTTTCTTTTTCTACAATGATTGCAGATTGGAACAAACAATCACAATTATTTACCCTAAGAGATTAGGCCTCTTATCTTTTCCTTAACTGTTTTCTTTTAATCTTATTAGCTCTTTCAGCACAGGCTCGATCCCTGGTACCGAACTCATAACCATTTTGTGCTTGTTACAGTTTAATTAGTAAGCGATTTCAATGAAATTTGGCAGATTATCAGTAAACATTACAATGCTTTCATACACAAATTATCATATATTTTTTTTATTAAGTCTTAAGGTTTGTAAAGCAATGTTTTTTCATGTCTTTTTTTTCTTTTCGCATGTTGCCTATTTATCATGCAAAGTAATATTCATGTTAAGATTAAAAATACTTTCATGCATCAGAAAATTTTGAAATTTCACATGCAAAATCTTTATAATGTCCAGATAGTTATCAAATGTTTCTTCAAGAAAAAACTTTATATTATATCTATTATTTTCAGTAATTAACCTCTGTACATGTTTGGTAGATTTGACCAATCTCACAACCATAAAAATTAGGAAATACACATAAATTATGCTTCTTTTTTTTCTAGAATGAACAAATTATAACACAAAAACATAAATGTTTAGACTAAATAGCTTAAATCTCATAACATTATACATTTATATATATTTAATATATCGACCTTTCCGCCATGCCTGACTAACAATACAGTAGTTACAATGACGCAGCTCACGTGCACTCATGTTATCGTATCAAATAACATACAACTAACCTTTGGTCTGTACAAAGTAACTTATGTTGGCTGTGTTTTAGTAACTAGTATTTTGTAAAATACAGTAACATTTCAATTATTATATATTACATACGTTATAGATCATTGCCATTTTGAAATAAGTTCTTAAACTTATTTTTCTTATAACATAAAACAGTAATGAAAGAAGTAAAGCAAACAATTATCTTTTCTAGGTACGACTTTGTACTCGGTTGCTGCTTGACATAGGTTGCTAAGTCTTTAAAAAATCTGCACGTGGAGGATATGAAGCAAAATAATTTTTTAGGATATATATATATATACATTTGAACAACTAAAAAATCATAAATTACTACATTAATACCATAGAATTCCACTATAATTTATCAAACTTAATAACTAAGATGTATTCTAGTCTAAAAAAATATGAAATTTCAAGCAGACTAAAGACACACCCTACCTCGTTGAAATATTGGTTCAAAAGAAAGAAATGGCACCAAGACTGTTAAAATGGCTAAGAAAGCCACTAGGGAACATTCTGAGCTTCTGATTGGTTATTCATTTCATATATAGAAGTAAGTGTATTTAAGGGAACATTTCTAAAAATAGAAAGAGGTGGGTGAGGTGCCACTTTGTTTGATTTATTACATGAGCAATATCTTAGCAAGTTGAAAAGATAAGAGGCTCTTATTTTATATAAATTCTAGCTTCTAAATATTGGTATTTTAAGTTTCTAATTCATTCAAAACTACAGAGTTAGTATTTTGACTTCACAAACTCCTAATTTGAACCAGTGCTGCATGCAACGTACCACGTGACACACAAAAATCGATGTTTATCTGTGTTTTTTTTATATTTGTTTTTAAATTAAAAAATTGAGTAACATATATTTCTA